GCAAGCCATTCTGGCTCAAGTGAGCCATCTGCCGAGGAGGCTGGCCAGGTCAGCGTAACATAGGGCCTGTGGGGTGCGGCCCGCGACACAAGTACCTGCTCGGGCCCCTCCCTTTTTTGGCCACTTGAGGGTAGGAAGGCGCCACGGCCTCCCCCTCTTTCACTTAGTCCTTATGTTCCGGTCGACTCCCTCCTCTAGCCGCGCGCCACGCCAGAGCGCCGTGGGCGCCGTCGTGACTCGAGCGCGGACAGCCACCACAGTGACGATCACTTCCTCTCGAGCAGGAGTGCGTCAGTCAGCAGGAGTCGCCGTCGCGCGTGACCTATGCCCCGCTCCAGGTCGTCGGACGACAAACTCGACGACGTGCTTCGTTCCTTCAGTGGGTTCGGCCAACAGCTGGCCGCCTCCACCTACGACATTCCTCTGATCAGAACCAGATCCAGGCCAACGCGCAGCACTGCGTCGACCTGCGCTCCCAGATGCTGGGCCTAGCTCGCCAAGCCGAGGAGTGGTTTGAGGCGCTCGAGGGCCGATCGTCCGCGGCCTGGTCGGACATCGATGACAAGATCACCGTCCTTCGCACTGAGTTGCGCAACGAGATGGACAACCGTTTTGCAGGTGGACGGCCGCTCCAGACTTCGCCGTGGACACTGACGACGACGATTGCCCTCACAGCATCGTGAAGGCCTCGATTCGTAACATTGAGGAGCGCCTCGAGATGCTGTCTACGCCGCCCTCGTCGATCGCCTCTCGCTCCTCTGCCTCCCTCAGCCTGGGCACCGCAGTCGACAACACCTGCAAGCTCATCCTCCTTGGTTGCCCGAGGAAGATGCTCGAGGCTACGCTTCGCACTAACGGTGCAGCCATTCGCTCTCGATCTGCTCCCTCCCATGCAGCTAACAGGACCACTGTGAAGGCTTTGACACGTCGAAGAAGCTCATTCTCCACTTCGAGAGGGCCGCCGCCGCCTCCGACCGCCGCCTCCGACTTCCCTGCCAACCACTCCAAAGATGGGCAGCGATCGATCCCATGCCACGGCTGGGCGCCAGCTCTTCTTGTCCATGGGCCATGTCAGGTCGCTGGTCACTCGCTTTCTCGCCCCGAAGGGCATCCAGGCCTCGAGTTACGGCTTGGTCGGTCTCGTCTACGCCATCCGCGGACCTGAAGATCCTGTCTCCACCGTGCAGCCGAGCCTTCTCGGGGGCTCTACAGATGTCACCATCGAGCTGGACGAGCACGGCATCGCTCAAGTCAGCCTGGGCGCCTGCTGTGGTGATATTCGCGCCGCAGCCGAAGTGAAGCTCCGCCAGCCCTCTCGACGCTGACGGAGATCGCTCTGCACCCTCGTGTCATTTGTCTCACAGCAGTGATGTTGGATTACATGTAGTCTTCCGTCCCCTGGGAATTGTCCCCCCTGCTTTCCAGTCTGTAAGCTCTCGGCCTGCTCGTGGAACTCCCACGGCCTTTTCTCTGCTGTATCGAATGCCAGCTGGCGTGCAAGTGCCAGACTTCGTCTCTTCCTCTCCGCCGCTCGAAATTCCAGATCAGTTGTTGTCAGGGGACTCATGGCCGCATCGGCGATATCAATGGGTACCATCGCGAGCTGAACTCTTCCTTTGGAAGGTATTCTATTGATCGCAGTCTGTTTCGGGGTCGCCAGCGTGAAGGTGGTGTTCGTACTGTCCGAGGGCCGTCCATCACCTTCCTCTTCCCCGCAATCCAGCATATCGACTTCATTCCTGGCCGGATTATCCAGACCAGTCTCTCGGGCCCCACCCAAGAGGCTCCTCGCCATCCAGAACGTTCACATGCCGAACGCCAGCGACGCCCTCTCCACCTACCCCCGTGCTCTTTCTACCATTCGGCCCGCCAACCTTGCCTGTGCTGCCAGTCGTCGCGTGGAGACTTTGACTTCGCGGTTGAGGACGAGGGCCGGCAGAAGAAGGGCGGCTCGGGCTGGTCTCCTGGGGGCCGCGCGCGCACTCGTCTCTTGGATCATGTTTCCCAGCGTTGTTGAGCTTTGCCAAGATCCAGACGCGCGACGTGAAGCCAGGGGCAGGGGGGCTGCCCATGCCGCTCGCCCTGAACGCGCATGCGCGTCTCTCCTGCAGGCTGCCGTTTGCGACTGTAAAAGTCAATTCTGGTGTACCTGGACTTCTCGAGTCCACGATGCCGAGCGACCGCGTCCCCTTCTTCTTCTCCGCCGAGCCCTGTTTGCCCCTTTCTGATTACTTCAGCGTTCCGAAGTGGATTGCTTGCCGCGCTGATTTTCGTATTCTTCTGGAGGTCCCCATCCTGGAGTCACCGTCTGACCTTGGGCCACTGGAGGAGCTAGGTGCGGGCAAAAACTCATGTGCCATAATTGCGCCGCTTCCCAGTGCGTGAACTCTCGCCTCGGTACGGTTATCTGTTCCAGCCCCCGTAGATTTTGGATTAGGACCAGCGTGAGTTCGAGCTACTGAACTCCCCCCCGAGGTGAAGAAGGCTGGGGAACAGCGGATCCAGCGCCATGGTGACATCTGGCGTGCGTTCGTTGCCGAACCCTGCTCGCGCTTGCGTGCGACGGCGAGGGCGGCCCGTGCCTGTCTGACGACGCCTCCGCCGAAGTTCTGCGACGATGCTGGGCCTGGGACCCCCCCCCCTTCGCGTGATGTGTCCCAGTTGCGTTGAGTTGAACGGCTTGTGCAGCAGATCTAGCGGCCTCTTCTTCGTAGTTGGCAAATAACTTAAGGGGGGTGGGTCGACCGCGTTCGCTCTTGCTCTCGCGGCGTGCCTGGAGAGAATGGGGCCCCATGCTGTGCGTGGCGAGTGTCTGGGGCACCACGCGCTCTCTTTGCTGTCTGCTTGCCCCTGTTCGAAGAAGGTGTATCTGAGCTCTCGCAGGATGTGCGCCGCGGCCTTGTGGTCTTCCATCCGAGAAAAAAAGGGTCCGAAGCTGAAGTTGCCCCCTCATCTGCGTCCCGTGGGCCTCGGCATGCTCGCCCGTCTGGCGTGTCCAACGCGGTCCCTGTCTTGCAGCGCTCGGCGGCGCGTCGCCCCCGAGTACAGTCGGGGTCTTGAAGGAGGAGCCCTTTTCGTTGGGGAGGGGCTGGGTGTTCCTTGAGTGCTTCACAGCTTGCCTCAGGTTTTCCTTATGATTTCGATCGGAAATCGAAGTTTAACTTATGGGGAAGAAGGGGCCTCGTTCCTTATTTAGGGTTCCTTAGGTCCACGCCCCGACTGTGGAGGTGAGTGCGAGGAAGGGGCGTGCCCTCTAATGTTGTCGACGCGGAGGCCTGGGGGCTGGAGCGGCGCCCCGTGGGCCGCGAGCGGGCTTGCCTCTCCTTGGTCGACTTCGGCGCTGCGCCCTCGTCCCTGGCAGTCCCGTGGCTCCTGCGCGTCCCCCCTTCCGATGCACATCCATCCCGCCACTGTGAAGATCTTCTCCCTTCTCCACTTCCAGAGCGCTGCCGCCTCTCTCTTTGCTGGCCGGCGCTTTGGAGAGCTTGCCATGGGGCAGTGAGTGGGGCAGGGTTGCCCTGGCAGCGTGCAGCTATCTGTACTTGCAGGTGACCCTCTCCTTCGGTGGCTCATGTTCAAGCGCGCCGCGGTCATTGGCAGGGCTGTCGCGTGTGCTGACGACTTCTGTTTCGGGCTCCTGGGCGTTCCCATTTTTCCGGTACCCTTCGCTGCCCTGATTGGTCGCTTCGAAAAGATGGCTGGTCTGCGTCTGGACTTCCGCAAGAGTCAGCTCTGCGTGGTGGGCTCCCAGGACATTGCCCTTCTCGGGGACATGATTCGGGGCGCTCCATGGCCTTCCGAAGGCGATTCATGTTTTGGAAACGGTGCAGTTTCTAAGGGTGTGCATTGGCCGCGTGGCCGAGTTCCGCGCGTGGTCGGAGGCCCGTGACAAGCTCCGCCGTCGGGTGCTGCGTGCGCGTGCCCTTTGACTTGGGCTGACACGGTCAACTCTCGCGCCTAAGGTCATGTTCTTTTTCGCATTATCTTTCATCATGCAGCTTCATGAGGTTCTTAAGCATGTTTGCCAGACGCATCGTGAATATGTTGTGCCTCTCGCGGCCGGTCCAAGGACAACTTTCTCCTGCGCTCTGTGTGCCCAACGTGCGGGCCTTCATATGCTATTTTGACTCCCTGACGTGCAGGCGCTTGCAAAAACGACGTGCCGTCGGTACATTTTTAAACGTGATTGTTTGGGTGTTGTGATCACTCATCCAGGGGATCTTCGGGCAGACGATGACCGTATCGTGGTTGAGTGTGTCTCTGCTTGGTGGCAATCCTGTCTTATTCTACATGCGTTAGCCCCGCAACGGTTACTGTGTCGACGACAAGAAGCTCCAGGCTCAGCTTTGCTGGTTCATTTTGCTCCTGCAGGCTCCCGCTGAAGGCCCCCCAGAGATCTTCATCGAGCGTCTTCGTGCATGGGCCCCGCCGGCGTCGCAGACTATGACTGATCGCTTGTGGCTTAACTCTTTTATCTTGTGGCTCAGAAGACCCAGCCATATTTCTTGGTCGGACTCTTGAGCGTCATTATTCGTGCTGTGCGCACTTCTGCCATATTCCACGTGTGCCCGCGAGGCTGTGCTCTGGGTTGCTCTTTGTCAGGCGGAGCGGACCTTGGCCACGTCATGAGCTATGCCTTTTGCCCAGCAGTTTACGGTATTTTTGCTGAATGGCTTGGTCATCGTCTTCTATCGTCCTCTTCATTCTCTGAGGGTGTTCCCTGGCTCTCCCCCTGCCTCCATCTCACTCCAGCATCACTTGTTGTTGTTGAACATTATTACTTCTAAAGAAATATTATTGTTGAGACCCCTGGTGCGCGACCCCCCTCCAAAACCTAGGCCGCAGCCTCATTTCCTTCATTTTCTAGCGAAAGCTTCAGAAAAGTGGATTGTGTCCGGATCCGGTTGTTTTGTTGTAATCCGTTTTCCCTTGCAAAAAACACTATAAAATGAAAATTCTTGTTCTTACTTGATCAAATTGCAAGAATCCCTTGCAAAAAATAAGGTAAAGTGGACATTCGTGCGCGCAAGACGAAATCCTTCCAAAACCTTAGGTTTCGTAACGATTTTAACATAAAAACATCAAAAACCCAATGGTTTTTTAAGAAAAAATTGTCAAAATGTCCTTCCGCGCGCGCTGTCCGAATCCCACAAAACCAATGGTTTTTCAACATTTATGTTACATGAGCTCGCGCGAGCTACTTTTTCTTGTTCTAACATAATCAAATTTCAATAATCCCTTGCAAAAAATAAGGTAAAGTGGACATTCGCGCGCGCAAGACGAAATCCTTCCAGAACCTTAGGTTTCGTAACGATTTCAACATAAAAACATCAAAAACCCAATGGTTTTTCAAAAAAAAATGTCCAAATTTCATCCCGCGCGCGCTGTCCGACTCCCACAAAACCAATGGTTTTTCAACATTTATGTTACATGAGCTCGCGCGAGCTACTTTTTCTTGTTCTAACATAATCAAATTTCAATACTCCCTTGCAAAAAAAAGTAAAGTGGACATTCGCGCGCGCAAGACCAACAAAAAACACGACGATCTCAGGAACTTGCCCCAAAAATGTGACCAACTCCGCTCTCTCTGTCTCTCTCTCTGTCTGCTCTCTGTCTCTCTCTCTGTCTGTCTGTGTCATGTATTGTATGTCACAATTGCAGGATGCTGGGCACACGCGCGCCCCGAATAAGTGACCAAGTTCTGTGGGTGTGTACCCCACGCCAGTGTAGTAGCCACGGTCGTCCGCACGCCACGAAGTGAAGTGTCCCAACGTCATAGGGCGGGAAGCTGGGTTTGGGTGGTCGCGAAGAGTCGTTTGGATATTTGGTAGAGCTTGAACTGCCCCCCCACGAAGTGGGGGTATTGTCTCGCGTCGCATGAAAACCCTGGCACTGGTGAGAACACTGAGCGTTCGGGTAAAATGATTGTTGTTGTTGTTGTTGTTGTTGTTGTTGTTGTTGTTGTTGTTGTTGTTGTCGTTGATGTTGTCGTTGATGTTACCTTTGCTGCCTGTGTCGATGCTGTTCTCTCTCTTCGCTCTGCCCGAAGTAAAGGGGGGGCCCAGGGCGCGCCTGCCCAGAATCTCGAGGCTCGCCCGAGGCTTGGCCTTTCGCCGCCGCAGCCTCGCTGCCCGGGCCTGGAGCGCCCGTGCGGCGGTGCGCTTCTCTTCCCCTCGCTCTCGCGGGGTCCGCTCGGCCCGGCAGGGTCCGCCGGCGCCAGCGACGCCTCCTCGAGGCCGTTCCCCGTGTCAGGTGGTGAGCTCCACCGAGTCACGATTGCCTCGAGCTTCGTTCGAGAACCTTTCCTCTCGCGGTCTTGCAGTTTGCAGGCCGGTGTCCAGCGTGATTCATCCGATGTCCAGTGCAGCGCTGCCTGCGCGGAGGCCTGGCACACCTCGTGGTAGACGGGAGCTTCTTTTTGAGCGCTCTGGTGTTTTCTCGTGGTATTCACACGCTTTCGGTGCGATAGAACTGCTGGGGTGACTTGAGCTGCCCTGCCTCCTGATCTCTGCCCGAGGCGGAACTGCTCGTGCCGAGGCACGGCCGCCTTGTGCCGCGCCGTTTGGGGAACTTCAGAGTGGCCCATGAAGCCTCAGGGCCCTGAAGCCTCCTGAGGGGGAGATGCATCATTACCTGAGAGAGTGTCCTTGCTGACCGTGATCCACATTCAGCATGCCCCCTCTAACGACGAGCCCTCTCGCTCCAGGTGCCACAGCACCTTCTTGCACTCCGCTCCGCTCTTCGAGTGCTGCGAATCTTCCAATCTCACATTCCGAGGGTGCCGCAGCGCTGGCGAGCTAAGCAACCAGGGCATCCTGTTTACGCCTCCTCCTCCTCCTCTTCGTCCTCCTCCTCCTCCTCCTCCTTTTTCTCCTCCTCCTCCTCCTCTCTCCCTCTTCCCCCCCTTCTACTTCGCACCAGAGCTGACTGGGAGCCCCAACAGTCCTCCAGAAGCAGGCCCCCTATCTCCTTCTTCTCCTCGCCCTGGCCCTGGCCCTTTCCCTCCCTTCCCCCCCCCCGTGCCCCCGGCCGCCCCTTCCGCTCCCCTCCCCTCGCCCCCTTTCCCCTTCACCCCCCTCCTTCCTGGCGCCCTCGTCGTGAGCACCTCGTCGTTGTAGGCTCATGCCATGCGCTTGTCCGCAATGGTTGTCGTTTGTTCGGTCCCCCCCTCATCTTCGTCGTCGTCGTCGCCGTCATCGTCGTCGTCGCCATCGTCGTCGTCGTCGTCGTCGTCGTCGTCGTCGTCGTCGTCGTTGTCAGCCCAGCGCGACCAGGCCGTCGTCGACGCCGAGGCCCGCGCCGCGCGCGCCGAGGAGAGGGCCATCCTCGCGGTCAGCCCCCCCCCCCCCCCCCCGCGTCCCCGCGCCCCCGCCGAGCCGCGCGCGGGGCGAGCGGACGGGTCTCCCGTTTCCCCTCGTCCTTGTCCCCTTCCCCCTTTTGCGCGCGGGTGCGCGGCTGTGCGCGTGCGCGTGCGTAGGTGCGTGCACGTGCCAGGACGACAGGAGGCTGCAGGATCGTGGGCTGCGTCTTCACACAAAACACGGCCAGCGACAGTGCCCAGGGGGCCCGCACAATTGTCTTCCAATTTGGGCGACCTGCCCCCCTGGGGCAGGGCACGCGCTGGGCAATTGCCCGCGGTTGGACCTCCATCAATCCTCGGAGGTAGTTGCACATGCATTACATACCGTTCCGTGGCCGGAGTGTCAGCACCAATGTCCGATCCCGACTTGCAGACCATGACAGAACGCAGCAGGAGGAGGAGGAGGAGGAGGAGGATGAGGAGGAAAAAAAGAGGAAAAACAGGAGGAGGAGGAAGACTAGGAGGAGGAAGATGAGGAGGAGGACGAGGATTGTATTGTTGTTGTGGTCGTTGTGGTTGTTGCTGATGATGACGATTGTGAGGATGAAGACGAGGATGGGAATGAACGTGATGATGATGATGATGATGATGATGATGATGACGATGACCATTTGATGATGACGCTGCTGTTGATGATGATGATGAGGAGGGGGGACCAGTGTAAATCCAATATTCGTCAACGAAGTTGGAATTCCCCCTAATCTCCCTCCTCATAGGCTCCTACAAGGGTTCGTTTCCTCTGAGGGCCTCCATCAATCTTCAGGGGTAGTTGATCATGCATAACAGCCCGTTCCGTGGCTGGAGTGTCAGTACCAATGTCCGATCCCGACCTGCAGACCGTGACAGAACATAGCAGGAGGAGGAGGTAGAGGAGGAGGGAAAAAAGGAAAAGCAGGAGTAGGAGGAGGAAGACTAGGAGCAGGAGAAAGAGGAGGAGGAGGAGGACGAGGAATATATTGTAGTTGTGGTTGTTGTGGTTGCTGTTGATGATGATGATGATGATGGTGAGGATGAAGATGAGGATGGGAATGCACATGATGACGATGATGATGATGATGATGATGATGATGATGATGATGATGATGATGATGCTGATGATGATGATGATGACGATGATGATTTTATGATGACGATGCTGCTGATGATGATGATGAGGAGGAGGAGGAGGAGGAAGAGGAGGAGGAAGAGGAGGAGGAAGAGGAGGAGGAGGAGGAGGAGGAGGAGGAGGGAGGACCAGTGTAAACCCAAGATTCGTCAACGATGTTGGAATACCCCCTCCCTCCAATCTACCTCGTCGTAGGCCCCTACAAGGATTCATTTCCACTGAGGAAGTGCCCCTCTGGGAGACAACAGTGTTAAAATCTGGAAGCGTGCCCAAACAACGTTCTCAGGACTTCAACGCCACGAGGCAATCGGACTGTTTCGTCTTGACGATCCTGAATCGTGCGAGGACTCCATTCCTGGGACTCCAACACCGTGTGGCGCCCTGACAATCCTGATTCGTTCCATCACACCAGTTCTGGAAGGTTAGCAGTGAGAATTCGTGAAGCCCTTGCATTTTTTAAAAAGGAATATGCGCGGCGCTAAGGCGGGATCCACGTTTTGAAAAGGAGCCGCCCTCAATCCTTTAAGCTCTTGCACATTTTTTTATTCATGTGCGCGGCGCTCGCTCATAATGGTAAGGAAGTCTCAGGCGAAACGCCCGGCCCGCACTTCCGACTGGCCCTGGGGGGCGTCAGATAGGAGTTATCCATTCATAAGAACAAGGAACTCATGAGAAGGATGCTGAGGATGAGGAGGAGGTTGAGGAGGAGGATGAGGATATTGATGAGGATGACGATGATGCTGATGATACTGATGATGATGACGATGCTTCTGATGATAATGATGATGACTGCGACGATGACGATGACGATGACGATGGCGATGATGATGATGAGGAGAAGGAGGAGGATGAGGATGAAGATGAGGAAGAGGAGCACAGAGAAGGATGGAGACGGAAGAGGAAGCGGAGGACAGAGAAGGTGGAGGAAGAGGAGGAAGAGGAGGAGGAGGACGGAGGAGGACGGAGAAGAAGAATGTCCGAGGACAGATGGTGGTGATGATGATGATGATGAAGGTGAGGATGCAGAATCTGATGATGACGATGATGCTGATGATGATGATGACGCTCATTATGCTGCTGACGATGATGATGCTGATGATGATGCTGATGCTGATGATGCTGACCGTGCTGATGATGCTGATGACGATGATCATGATGCTCATGCTGATGATGATGCTGCGGCTGATGATGATGCTGATGATGATGCTGCTGATGATGCCGATGACGATGATGATAGTGATGCTGCTGATGATGATGACGATGATGATAATGATGATGATGATGATGACGTTATTGTGAATGATGATGTTGATGATGATGCTGCTGCTGATGATGGTGTTGATGATGCTGAGGATGATGCTGATGATGATGATGATGTTGATGATCATGCTGATGCTGATGATGCTGATCGTGCTGATGATGCTGCTGATGATGATCATCATCATGATGATGTTGCTGATGATGATGATGCTTCTGATGATGATGATGCTGATGATGATGCTGCTTATGATGCCAATGTTGATGATGATGACGATGATGGTGATGATAATAATTCTAATGATTATTATTATGAGGAGGAGGAGGAGTAGGACGTGGCAGAGGAGGACGGAGAAGGATAATGGCCGAGGATGGATGGTGGTGGTGATGATGATGATGAATGTGAAGATGAGGATGAAGATAATGATGATGATGACGATGATGATGACGATGACGATGACGATGACGATGACGATGATGATGATGATGATGAGGAGGAGGAGGAGGAGGAGGAGGTTGATGATTATGCTGCTGATGATGATTATGATGATGATGATGCTGATGATGATAATGATGATATTGCTGCTGATGATGCAGATGATGATGATGAGGATGATGATAATGATGATGAGGATGATGATGAGGAGGATGAGGAGGTTGATGATTCTGCTGATGATGACTATGACGATGATCATGATGATGATGTTGATGAGGCTGATGATGCTGATGATGGTAATGATGATGTTGCTGCTGATGATGCAGATGATGATGAGGATGATGATGATGATGATGATGATGATGATGATGATGATGATTATGATCATGATGATGAAGGTGAGGATGAATAATCTGATGATGATGATGCTGATGATGATGACGCTCATCATGCTGCTGTCGATCATGATGTTGATGATGATGCTGATGCTGATGATGCTGATCGTGCTGATGATGTTGCTGATGATGTTGCTGCTGCTGCTGCTGCTGATGATGATGATGATGATGATGATGATCATGATGCTCATGCTGATGATGATGCTGCGGCTGATGATGATGCTGATGATGCTGCTGCTGATGATGATGATGATGATGCTGCTGCTGCTGATGATGTTGATGATGATGATGATGATGATGATGATGATGATGATGATGATGATGATGATGATGAGACTGCTGCTGCTGCTGACCATTAGGCCGATGAGGCTTCTGCCGATCAGGAGGAAGAGGAGGAGGAGGAGGAGGCGGAGGAGGAGGAGGAGGAGGAGAAGAAGAAGAGGAGGAGGAGGAGGAGGAAAAGGAGGAGGAAAAGGAGGAGGAGGAGGAGGAGGAGGAACGACTCATCGTCTTGCTCCTTCTCCTCCGCTTCCTCCTCGTTCTCCTCTTTCTCCTCCGCTTCCTTCTGAGACCTGTCATCTTCTTCGCTCCCGCTCTGCAGGCGTTCTGCAGCTTCCGAGCCCAAAGGTGCACCGCGCCCTGGGCCACGGCCTGCCCTTGCCCCCCTTTCGCGGCGCCCGCGCTCGGGGCAACGGGCTGGCCCCAGCCCCCCTGTGCCCTGGCCCCGGCCCTGGCCCTGGCCCCGCCCCCCGGCCCTGGCCCCGGCCCTGGCCCCGGCCCTGGCCCCGGCCCCGCCCCGCGGCCCCGGCCTCGGCCCCCGGCCCCCGGCCCCTGGCCCTGGCCCGCGGCCCGGCCCCGGCCTCCGGCCCCGGCCTCCGGCCCCGGCCCCGGCCGCGGCCGGCCCCGCCCCGCGGCCCCGGCCACAGGCCCCGGCCTCCGGCCCCGGCCTCCGGCCCCGGCCTCTGGCCCCGGCCCCGGCCCGCGGCCCGGCCCCGGCCACAGGCCCCGGCCTCCGGCCCCGGCCCCGGCCCGCGGCCCCCGCCCCAGCCTCGGAAAAATTGCAATCCTCCCCCCTTTCCCCCTTTCCCCAGCAGAGCCGCCCCAGCAACCCCTTCAGTCAGCAGAGCTGAGGCTCAATCTGTAGCCTTTTCACACTCATATGCCCGATCGGCGGACATTCCTGGAAACGTCTTGGGCTGGTCTGTGGCTTTCTTGAGACCGCCAGCGGCTGTCCAAGACCGTCTGGGGGCAGTTTGGAGGGTCAAGAGTTGTCAGGGGTCCGCTCAAGGGCCGTCTAGGACCGTTTTAAGATTTTTGTTGCTGTTGGGAGCCTTCAGGCCGCCTTCGGAGGCCCGATGGAGGGCGTCTTGGGCAGTCTCAGAGGGCATTGATGTCCAAAAGGCCTATGTGCAAAAGTAAGGAGAAGTTTTTTTTTTTTTTTTTCTTCTCCTAGGTTTCGTATTCTCGGGGTCTCCTGGGGAGCCTCTGGGGCAATGGCGCGGCGGTCATGTGGAGGGTCTTGGGTCTTGTCGAAGCCGTCGGGGCCCGTCTTGAGCCATTCTGGATGCGACCAGGGATCACACTGGGCAGTCTGAGGAACACCCAGGGGTCTTAGGGTCCACCTTGGAGCCATTTTGGGCCATCTGGACCGTCTTGTACGGGTCTTGGACCGTCTTGAGTTCCCATCTTTGGGCCTCGGTTGCCATCTTGGTCCGTTTTAGAGTTCTAAAGGCCACAGACAGAGAGAAAGGTCTTTCTGAGTCTTCTCACTGGAACAACCGTGTGATCACCATGCGTCAGAGGGTACTTTCAGTATTGCACACTTTCTGTGTGAAGGGTCTCGCAGGCCGAACAGAGCAATCGCATGTGGCCGATGGAGGCCATCGTGGCAAACCGGGGCGCCGTTGGAGATCCAGTCATCCAATCGGAAGTCTGATTGCCTCATGCCCCGGGCACGTGCACCCCTCCAGCGGCGCTCAACCGAACGACGACGGGTATTGTAACCAGCGCCGCGCGTCCAAGAGCCAGCTGAGGGCTCTTTGAGAAGAACCAGGCTCCTCGCACCAGGCACGCCTGGACGCGCCTGTGGACATGGCTAGCGGCTTGACCACAGGCGGCAATGGATCTCGCTCGACGCTGGCACTCTGGACTGTCGACTTTTTTTTCGCCACGTGGTGGTCGCCCCCTTTCCGTGCACAGGTGAGCAACCTTGAAGAGGTGAGGCGGGCGTCGAACGAGGGCACCTCCAGAGCCGAGGCGCACGCCAGAGAGCTCGAGGAGTTGTGGGGGCGGAGCAGAGAAAACAGGGGAAGTGGAGGGGGATGCGGAATACGTAGGAGAAGGGGTAGGAGGAGGAGGAGGAGGAGGAGGAGGAGGAGGAGGAGGAGGAGGAGGAGGAGGAGGAGGAGGAGGACCAGTATTACCACAAGACTCATCAACGATCTTGCAACACACCCTCCCTCCGAGTTCCCTCTTCATAGGCTCCTGCACGGATCCATTTTCACTGAGCAAGATGCGCCGTTGGAAGACAACCGTTTGAAAATCCGGAATCGTGCCAGAACGCTATCCCTGGGATTTAAATATCGCCGAACACCGCTACCGTTGCGTCTTGACGATCCTGAATCGTGCCAGCACACCATTCCTGTAATTTTGCACGCCGCGAATCAACGTGACTGTTGCGCCCGAACATTCCGGCATCGTGCCCAAACACCGTTTCTGGGGCGTTAACCATGATAGTCTGTGATTATCATACAAGCGCCTACGCGCTTAAAACAACTGTGCGCGGCGCTAAGGCGAGTGCCACATTTTGAACACGGTCCGAGTTCCTGTTGCAAATCTTTAAAATGAGTGTGCGTGGCGCTTCGGCGAGAGCCACACTTTGAAAGTGGACCGCCCTCCATCCGCGAAATTCTTGCAAACTTTTCAGGCGAGTGTGCGAGGCGCTAAGGCGAGAGCCATATTTTGAAAGCGGACCGCCCTCGATCCGTGAAGCTCTTGCAAATTTCAAGTTTTAGGGTTATGCATGGTGAGGAAGGCTTAGGCGATACGACTGGCCGGCCCTTTCGACTGGCCTCGGGGTGCTACAGAGAAGAGATATTCATAAAGAAAAGGAGCGGAGGAGGAGGGGGAGGATGAGGAGGGGGAGGAGGAGGAGGAGGCGGAGGAGGAGGAGGAGGAGGAGGAGGAGGAGGGAGGAGGAGGAGGAAGAGGAGGAGGAGGAGGAGGGAGGAGGAGGAGGAGGAGGAGGAGGAGGGAGGAGGAGGAGGAGGAGGAGCAGGTTCAGGAGCAGGAGCAGGAGCAGTAGCAGGAGGAGCAGCAGGAGGAGGATGAGGAGGGGGAGCAGGGAGGAGGAGGATGAGGCGGACGAGGAGGCGAAGTATGAGTACGCGAAAGGGGAGGTGGAGGAGGAGCACGAGGAGGGTATCCTTCTCCTCCTGCTCCCCCCTCCCCTTTTTCCCGCTCTTCATGTCATCGACCGTTCCACTCGATAGGTTCCACCAACTGCGCCTCGAACGTGCCGGGCCATCCCAGCATGCGGTGGCCACGAGGCTGTGAGCAGGGCTGCATCCGCTGGCCCAAATAGGGATTCTACCCATCCCGCCAGTCTGGGTACGATAAGTTCTGTGATGCACCCTCTGGTCGGCCCCCTTGGGAGGTCTGAGGGGGGCGGCTGCCAGCTCAAGGTGGTCATGACGCGCAGAGGAGGGACGCGACTGCGTCACCAAACGGGCGTTCTACCCGAGGGGTCACGCCAATCTGGGCGCGAACGGGCCCGTGAGATGGGAGGCCCGAGTGCGACGCTTGCTATTTTGCGATGCCTGCTACCTTGCTACATTTCCACAGTCGATGTCTGGGCGTTCAAATATGACGCTGGGCCTACCGTCGGGTGGATGTGCTCTCTCCTTCTCGTTTCTCGTTCACCAGACAACTTTGGTGGTCGCAAATGAGTGTGTCTGACTGGGAAGTGGTCTGATTGTGAATATGCATGGGCAGGTATGATCGATTTTAGTGCCAGTGAGTGTAAGCGTGAGTATGAGTAGCTGATTGCGAGTGAGTTGGGATATGAGTGAAGCTGTGTATGAGCGGGTCTGGGTATAGAGAGTCTGAGTATGAGCGAGTCTGAGTGTGAGTGGCAGAGTATGAGTGAGTCTGGGCATGAGTGAATCTGGGTATGAGTGAGTGTGCCCGAGTGAGCCTAGACATGAATGAGTCTGCGCATCAGTGACCAGGTATACATGAGCTTGAGTGTGAGTGTGTCTGCGTATGAGTGCTTGAACTCGAGAGGATAAGTATGAGTCAATGTGAGTGTGAGCGAGGAAAAGGAGAAGGATTGATGTGATGCGGAGGCGTGCCACTGATATCATATCAAGAACGCCATGTTCAGAACATGGGGAACGAAGGGCTCCTAGCTCTGGAACAAATCATCCGTGCAATGTAAACGAAAGGGAGGTTGCTCTGGAGCTGTCTTGGGAGCGTGTTGATTTGTCTTGCGAGCGTTTTGGGCTGTCTTGGGGGTGTCTCGCGCCCAAGCTTTCCACCCCTGTGAGGGCGTCCCAAGCGCCGCCTCAGAGCAAATGAAGCCGGGCCCCACATTATCCGTCAGGGCTTCGCCCCCTGCCGCTGGCCCCTTCTCTATCACAACAGGAAACGTCAGAGTCGCGTCGGTGCGTATCGGCGCTGCCTTGGCGCATCTGGGAACATCATGCGGGGGCGGATAGGAATCATCAGCGCATATTGAGACGTTGGCGTTATCGAAGACGCCTACGGCGAATCACCGCCGCCCCCTGCCTCTTGGAATTGCCCATGTGGCCGAACGCTCTGCGATCTATCGGGCCATGTGTTCCCCCAGCCGTTGCAGCATCCATGGCGGCGAGGATCTGAGGAGGAGGAGGAGGAGGAGGAGGGGGGGGCATCTTGGGAGCCTTTGGGGAGCCTTTGGGCCTCCTTGGAGCTTCCTGGGAGCCTTTTGGAGGCATCTTTGGGATCTCCTTGGGCCTCTTGGGGGCCTTTGGGGGCTTCTCGGGGGTCTCTTTGGCCGTCTTGGGCATTCCTGGCCCGTCTGATGCCGTCGGAAGCCGTCTTGGGGGCCTCTCTGGGACGACTTGGGGCCCTCTTGGGGTGCTCCAGAGCCGTCTTGGATGCCATCTTGGGCATCTTCGAGGCCTTTTCGGCCGTCTTGGGGTCCTCTTGGGGTCGACTTCGAGGCCTCTTGGGCCGTTCTGGGGCCATCTGGGAAGGCCTCGTGGGAAATCTTGGGGCGATCTTTGGGGGCTCTCGGGCCGGCATTGGCCGTCAGAATTTCGAAAAGAAGCAAATACCAAAATCCTTCAAAAACCCAGGGACACTCAATTATTTTGGCACCTTCGGGTCTTCCTGGAGGCCCTCTTGGAGGCCTCTTGGGCCGTCTTGGAGGCCTCTTGGGGGCGTCTTGGGCCGTCTTGGGCCATCTTGGAGCCATCTTGGGCCGTCTTGGTGGCCTCCTGGCCCGTCGGACGCCGTCGGAAGCCGTCTTGAGGGCCTCGCTGGGCCAACTTGGGGCCCTCTTGGCGTGCTCCAGGGTTGTCTGGGGAGCCATATTCGGCGTCTTGGAGGCCGTCTTGGGCTATCTTGGAGCCGTCTTGGACCGTCTTGTTGGGCTCCTGGCCCGTCTGACGCCGTCGGAAGCCGTCTTGGGGCATGTCTGGGCCGACTTGGGGCCCTCTTGGGGTGCTCCAGGGCCGTCGTGGAGGCTTCCTGGGGCGTCTTAGAGGCCTCTTTGGCCGTCTTTGGGCCCTCTTGGGGCCGTCTTGAGGACATCTTCGGCAGTCCTGAGGCCATCTTGGAGGCCTCTTGGCGCTCTGGGGGCGATCTTGGGGGCCTTTTGGGCCATCTTGGGCAGTCAGATGGCCGAAAAAGAGCGAATACGAAACTCCTTCAAAATCCTAAAACTAATTAATGATTTTAGCCTCTTCGGGCCCTCCTGGAGGATCTCTCGGAGGCTTCTTGGGTCGTCCTGGAGGCCTCTTGGGCACCTCTTGGGGAGTCTTGGGCCGTCTTGGAGGCTTCGTGGGTGGACATGGGAGCATCTTGGACCCCCTTGGGCCGTCTTGGAGGCCATCTCGGAGGCATCTCTTGGAGGCCAGCTTGGGCCCTCTTGGAGCCGTCTTGCGCAGGAGGAACCGGGTCTTCCGGGTGGCAGGCAGGCGGGGACCGGAGCCCCCAGGGAAGAGCTCTTCGGGAAGCAGAAACATAACCAGAAACCGAAAGGGTCCAGCACGCCGGGCACGAGGTTCGGTCTCTTCTCTTTACACAACCCGAACGACACCGTGCAGCCGAGACAGGTCATTTGACAAAACCAGCGCAGGATCGGATTCTTCGGTTTTCCTCCAACAGCGACCACTTTACAACCAGAACAGCCCACTCTGCAACCAGAGCGGCCCACTTTACAGCCCAGACGGGGCTCTTTACAACGAGAACGGCCACTTTACAAACAGCCTTCAGAAGCGCGTGAGCGCTCTGCAGAGGCTTCTGATGCTTCAGATCGCCTGAGCGCTCTGTAGAGGCTTCTGAGCGCCTGCTGAGCGCTCTGCAGGGGCTTCTGAGTGCCTGAACGCCCTGAGCGCCTGGGCGCTTTGCAGAGGCTTCTGAGCGCCTGAGCGCTTTGCAGAGGCGTCTGAGCGCCTGAGCGCTCTGCAGTGGCTTCTGCGCGCCTGAGCGCTCTGCGGAGGCTTCTGAGCGCCTCAGCGCTTTGCAGAAGCTTCTGAGCGCCTGATGAATGCCCTGTAGAGGGTTCTGAGCGCCTAAGCGTTCTGCAGGAGCTTCTGAGCGCCTGGGCGCTCTGCAGAGGCTTCTGAGCGCCTGAGCGCCCTGCAGAAGCTTTTCTGCGGCTTCTGAGCGCTTGGTCGCTTTGCAGAGGCTTCTGAGCGCCTGAGCGCCTGAGCGCTCTGCAGAAGCTTCTGAGGCTCCTGAGCGCCTTGTCGCCTGAGGCTCCTGAGGCTCTTGAAATCCGCACGTGTTGGCTTGAATTGGACCAGCGATTTCTTGGACAAATTCCCGCCCTCCTGGGTACGCATGCTTCCGCGAGTGCGAAAACATGAGGTTTTGCCAGTGTCAGACGATGAGGCGCGAGGACAATAATTGTCTGTGAGGCCAGAAAAGCATTGGCATCCAAACGTGTTGGCTCCCATTTTACCATCGATTTCTTAGCCAACATTCCGCCCTCCTGGGTACGCATGCTTCCGCAATTTCGAACACAGAAAGTTTTGTTACTGTCAGGCGATGAGGCGCAAGGACAAGCATGGTCTATGATGCAAACAACTAACATCATGAAATCCATGGTTAGACATTTGCAAATGATTTCTTGGCCGCATTTCCGCTTTCCCGGGTACTCGTGCTTCCGCACACGTGAACACATTCGGTTTTGCTATTGCCAGGCGATGAGGCGCGAGGACAAAACATGCCGATGATGGAACAACAAACGAATTGAAATCTACATTGGTTGGCTAGAACTTTACCAACGGACTCTTGGCCACATTTCCGCTCTCCTGGAAGCGCGCGTGCTCCACTGCGCATCTTGCGCCGAACGCTTACTGTCCTTCTAATGTCAGAAAGAAGCAAGATTTTCTGGCAGAGGTTATGCGGCTCAAAACATGTAGATTTAGGGCGTAGATGCAAAAACGCTTATGCCGGCCAGGCCTGTCACCAGCCTGAAGCGGGATGATCTCGGTTGGATCTCGCTTGGTTTCCACTAGCTCTTTCTGAGCACCACAAGATAACAATAGGACTCCACTCCGGTTACAGTATGACTCAAAGAGGCCAGGGTCTTGTTGGGTTACAGTTGGGTCCTGATGTGATCCCAATGGTATGCCCGCATGGGTCGAAAAGGAATGATTCCGACTGGATTCCAGTGCGATATCTGTCGTATTCGCCGATGTGGTTCCGATGGGATTCCAAGGGGCACGGCTCCTCTTGCTTTCGAGTAAGAGCCCAAAAGGATTCCCATTTGGTCTCCGTGCACTACCCCAAAGCGTTCCCCGCAGCATTCCAATAGGAAGGTTCATCGATTGTAATCCAATGGGGTTTCCAATCGGTTTCCATTAGGAAGGGCCCCGAAAGGTTTCAAGAGGAAGCATCCCCATCGGATTCCACTTGGACACCCGTAGATCCCGTAGCGAAAGGAGTCTAGTTGGCTTTCAATGGGATTCCTCTGGTGCCAATCGGCTCCCAGTGGGAAGGTTGCCAATCGGATTACAATCGGATTCTTGTTGGATCCCATCAAGAATCCGCCACTTCATATATTTTGCTTCAGACGAGTCTCTTTACAACCAACACGCTTCGGAGAGCGAAGTGTATCCTTTTTGTGGGCCCACGGAGATTTCGGAACTTGCAGAACATGTTTCGCCTATCTGCGTTCAATTGCCTGGTTGTAAAGTCGCCTTCCTGGTTGTAAAGTGCCTTTTTGGGAAAACCAATGCTGGTTGTAAAGTGCTCCATCCGGTTGTAAAGTGGCCGTTCTGGTTACAATGTGACCCGCATGCCGCCGGGCACCCCTGTGGCAAGCCAACAGGGGGCGGCGGATCTTATAGCCTTCGGCCCATCCCGCCACCGTGCCTGGGTTGTGGGTCTGAGGCCTCTTGTATCTGTGTTGGGGTGTCGTTGGGGGCCTCTCGGGGGCCTCTTGGAGGCGGTTTGGGCGCCTCTTGGGGGCCTCTTGGGGCCTCCTGGGGTATCTTTTGGGCCTCTTGGAGGCCTCTTGGGCGCGTCTTGGGTGCCTCTTGGGGCCTCTTGGGGCCTCTTGGAGACTCCTGGGGGCTTTTGGAGGCACAAATGTAGAATGTTCGGTTCGTGGTCCCCTGCTTGGGCCCTCTTGGGGCCGTCTTGGGGCCCTCTTGGGCCGTCTTGGAGCCCTCTTGGAGGCGTTTTGGGTTGTCTTGGGACGCGAATATAGGTAACTTGCGAGGGTTTGTTGCCTCGGGGGCGCAAGAATTGCATCATTTAGCAGGGTTTGTGGTCTCGGGGACGCGAGTATTGTTTACGTTAAGAGGGTGTATGGCTTCGGGGACGCGAATCTCACGTCTGTTTACGTGTCCCACGCCCCCCCATGAATTCAGAGAGCGCGATCCGGGCATGGTACACGGGCGGTTTGGGCTCCCCCCTTCGCGCGGCTTTCAACGATTTATAGTAGGTAGCAGAAAGCAGGACTGTAACATTGCAGACTTGAAGCTGCAACTGGTGCAGGGAGCAGCACGCTTCGCCCTACAGTCTGGTGGCTCACAAGGGGGCCGGCAGATTGCAAGATGTGGGGAGCGTTCAGGCGGAACTTGCCCCCCTTCTCCCCAGTCCCCACACGAGGCTGAGCCATGCTGCCCAGAGCCAAGCAAACTGTGAAGTGAGCACCGTTCAAGCGAAGCCTGCTCCCAAAAAGGCCAGGCCAGTGGCCAAACCAGGCGAATTGTCAGGACCAGGTGGCGCTCACAACGCCTCGGACAAGGCCAAGCCAGGGACCCCAAACCAGGCAGACCGTCATGAGCTCCCCGGCGGGACATGCCGCCGACGGAAAAACGCACAGAACAAATCCCTATGCATGCGACGATTTTTTTTCTCAATCCGCGGGCTTCAGAGATGCCCCGCCGCCTGCCGTGGGGATCGCTTTTCTGTCCAGGCCCACTTCTGATGGCCCTGGGCCCGCGAGTGGCCCCCAGACGCTGAGGTCGAGGTGAAACCGCTGGGCCCTTCATAGTCTCCCTGAAAGGGCCCTTTGGGGTCCAAAAGGAGGCCTTTAGGGCCCGAGAAGTGCCCCTTCCTTAGGATCCGCCGTGGCGAAAAAAATAGCAACATCGTGAACATGACGCCTGGAGCCCTAGACCCCATCTCCGTGCGTCGTCTCTCGAGCCGGGTCGTTCTGCGAGGGCCCCAGGGCCCGAACCGAAAGGTGCGCACGCCCGGCTCGACAGGGGTGAGACGCCAGGATCTCAGGGCCTCCCCCCGCTCAGTGCATCGCCCCCCCCCCCCCTCCCCCATTATGAGCGACGCCTCCTCGCGAGGGCCCTGGCCCTCCGAGCAGCGCGGCCTTCTCGGGAGGCCTCGCCCTGCCTCGCTCCGCCGAGGTGGCCGCGGCGACGGCGGCGTCGGCGGCCTGCGTGCGCCACGCGGGCGCCCCGGGCAGGAGCAGCTGCGCGCCGCCCGGCACGAGCTGGCCGCCCGCGCGGCCGCGGAGGGCTCGGCCGTGGCGGCGGAGCGGGAGGCGGCCGCCCAGGCGCTGCGCCAGGCGGCGCTTCGGGAGGAGGACCGCGCCCTGCCGCCGGCGAGCCTCTCGCGTCCGCCCTCCCCGACTCGAGCCGAAGGGCGTCTTGTGTTGCGGTGTCGTGGGCCGCTTTCGTGCCGATTCCGTTGCGCGGCAGGGGCAGAACGAAGACAGAGCGAAGGACAACAAAAAGAATACGAAGGCTAACAACACTGCTTAGCTCGAGCCCCGCTCCTCCTCCTCCTCCTCCTCCTCCTCCTCCTCCCTCCTCCTCCTCCTCCTCCTCCTCCTACCTCCTCCTCCTGCTCCTCTTCTCCTCCTCCGTCCTCCTCCTCCCTCCTCTTCTCCTCCTGCTTCCTCTTCCTCCTCCTCCTCCTCCTCCTCCTCCAGACGCTCCAACCTCCTCCTCGTCCTTCTCCTCCTCCTCCTGCTCCTCCTCCTCCCCGTCCTCTTCCTCCTCCTCTTCCTGCTCCTCCTCCTCCTCTCCCCTCCTCCTCGTCCTTCTCCTCCTCCCCTCTCCTCCTCCTCCTCCTCCTCCGCCTCCTCCTCCTCCTCCTCCTCCTCCTCCTCACCCTCCTCCCCCTCCTCCTCCCCCACCTCCTCCTCCTCCTCCTCCTCTCCTCCTCCTCCTCCTTGAGGTACGGGTGCTTCCTCCTACCTCTTCCTCCTCCTCACTATCCTCCTCCGCGTTCATGTCGTCGTCGTCCCCTCTCCTCCTCCTCCTTCTTCTCCTCCTCCTTCTTCGCCCTCCCCCCTCTTCCTCCTCCTCCTCCTCCTCCTCCTCCTCCTCCTCCTCCTCCTCCTTCTCCTCTCCTTCACACCTACACACTATGAATACTACTCTCCTCTCTCCCCTGGTGGCGTCTGGGGAGTGTCCGGCCCCCCTCGGCGTCTGTGTTTCTTTACACACAGGATTCGATAAGACAAACAAGAGACAGAACAAATTACCCTGGCGACGTACCCAACCCCTGCGCAAAAGCGGGGCGCAAATAGTTTAGGATACTTTATAAGGGGGCGATGACGGAGCGAGGGTTACATATGTCTGCAGACGGAATTCGGGAGACTCGCAGGACACTGGCTACAGGAAAAGGGCTTGATAAAGCTGATGATTTACAATTCCTGAGCACTCCTAGCCACTTCGAAAACGGGGATCACAGCAGGCCTCGAAAGTGGCGACAGGTTCACAGATCGCAGCCCCGCAGGGACGGCGAGGTCTCATTTGAATCTGCCCGTGGCCCTCACTGTGCTGGGCCCCCCAGCAGGCCTCGAAAATGGCGGCAGTTTCGCAGATCGCAGCCCCCCAGGGATGGCGAGGTCTAATTTGAATCCGCGCGTGGCCCTCACTGTGCTGGGCCCCCCAGCAGGCCTCGAAAATGGCGACAGTTTCGCAGATCGCAGCCCCCCAGGGATGGCGAGGTCTAATTTGAATCTGCGCGTGGCCCTCACTGTGCTGGGCCCCCCAGCAGGCCTCGAAAATGGCGACAGTTTCACAGATCGCAGCCCCCCAGGGATGGCGAGGTCTAATTTGAATCCGCCCGTGGCCCTCACTGTGCTGGGCCCCCCAGCAGGCCTCGAAAATGGCGACAGTTTCGCAGATCGCGGCCCCCCAGGGATGGCGAGGTCTAATTTGAATCCGCGCGTGGCCCTCACTGTGCTGGGCCCCCCAGCAGGCCTCGAAAGTGGCGACAGTTTCGCAGATCGCAGCCCCCCAGGGATGGCGAGGTCTAATTTGAATCCGCCCGTGGCCCTCACTGTGCTGGGCCCCCCAGCAGGCCTCGAAAATGGCGACAGTTTCGCAGATCGCAGCCCCCCAGGGATGGCGAGGTCTAATTTGAATCTGCGCGTGGCCCTCACTGTGCTGGGCCCCCCAGCAGGCCTCGAAAATGGCGACAGTTTCGCAGATCGCAGCCCCCCAGGGATGGCGAGGTCTAATTTGAATCCGCGCGTGGCCCTCACTGTGCTGGGCCCCCCAGCAGGCCTCGAAAATGGCGACAGTTTCGCAGATCGCAGCCCCCCAGGGATGGCGAGGTCTAATTTGAATCCGCGCGTGGCCCTCACTGTGCTGGGCCCCCCAGCAGGCTTCGAAAATGGCGACAGTTTCGCAGATCGCAGCCCCCCAGGGATGGCGAGGTCTAATTTGAATCCGCGCGTGGCCCTCACTGTGCTGGGCCCCCCAGCAGGCCTCGAAAATGGCGACAGTTTCGCAGATCGCAGCCCCCCAGGGATGGCGAGGTCTAATTTGAATCGCGCGTGGCCCTCACTGTGCTGGGCCCCCCAGCAGGCCTCGAAAATGGCGACAGTTTCGCAGATCGCAGCCCCCCAGGGATGGCGAGGTCTAATTTGGGTCCGCCCGTGGCCCTCACTGCGCTGGGCCCCCCAGCAGGTCTCGAAAGTGGCGACAGTTTCGCAGATCGCAGCCCCCCGCAGGCAAGACAGGAAGAGGCGGGAGGCGGGAGGCGGGAGGAGGAAGGACGCGACCACACTGCTCTATTCAAAACGAATGCCCAACCAAGGAGGGTTGGGAATAATGCTGCTCTCGCTGAAGCGCTGGCCTCATTTTCGGGCTACCGCTCGTCCGAATCGAGCTCCCGCTGCAGTGCTGGCCTCATTTCCGCGCTTCCGCTCGTTCCGAATCGTGCTCCCGCTGCAGCGTTGGCGTCATTATTTCGAGTGCCATGCCCCGGCATGGTTGTCGGTCCTTCCAAATAGGCCCCAAAATCTAGAACCCCCCCCCCCGACGAAACCATCGGACGTGATTCCACATTCGGTGTCGATTCGATGTTTTTTTGGGCCGCGGAAGCCCCCCCCCACCAGTTTGGGGCGTCGCCACGCCATGCTATGTCAGGCTACGCGTCCTCATTTCTGCGCTTTCGCGCGGATTTTTTGGTGTTAAAAATCGTATGCTGATTTTATGTTATTTCGTTTTTTATGTTTTTGTGCCATTCTTCTTCTTCTTCTTCTTATTCTCCTTATTTTCTTCTTGTTCTTCTTATTAGTATTCGTAATATTACTATCATAGTTATTCGTATTAGTGTTATATAATATGCTCGTGCTCCCGCTGCAGCGTTGGCCTCATTGCCGCGCTTCCGCTCGTTCCGAATCGTGCTCCCGCTGCAGCGCTGGCCTCATTTCTGCGCTTCCGCTCGTTCCGAATCGTGCTCTCGCTGCAGCGTTGGCGTCATTATTTCGAGTGCCATGCACCGGCATGATTGTCGGTCCTTCCAAATAAACTCCAAAATCTAGAAAATGCCCCCCTGACAAAACCATCGGACGTGATTACACATTCGGTGTCGATTCGATGTTTTTTTGGGCCGCGGAAGCCCCCCCACCACTTTGGGGCGTCGCCACGCCATGCTATGTCAGGCTACGCGTTGATCTTCGACGCCATGCTATGCCATGTAATCTATGCCATGCTACGACATTCGATTGTGCGAATAGAGAGGAGATCTACGCCATGGTAAGGGATGGGAGGGAGGGTTAGGACGTTAGATATGACGCGAGCGCACCTAGCCTGCCCTCCTCCCCCTCCTCCCCCTGCTTCTCCTCCTGCTCCTTCTCCTCCTCCTCCTCCTCCTCCTCCTCCTTGGTGACGTTGCTCAGACGTTGGCTACGTGGCTGAAGCGTTCTCCTCCTCCTCCTCCTCCTCCTCCTCCTCCTCCTCCTCCTCCTCCTCCCCCTCCCCCTCCTCCTCCTCCTCCTCCGCCTCCTCCTCTTACGTTAGACCGACGTAAGAAACCAGCCTGTCGCGTGAGTCCTCCTCCTCCTCCTCCTCCTCGTCCTCCCGCCTCTTCCTCCTCCTCCTCGTCCTTCCCCCGCCTCCGCCTCCTTCGCCGCCCTGCACGCACCGCCGCCGCGCTCGACTCCAGGCCTCCCCCCGCTTGGGTCCGAGCAGGCGGGATCGGAGGATCGCGCGCATCGCCGATCCATCGGCCATGCTCAGAGGAGGAAAGGTACCCATACTGCTGCCCTCCGTCCGTTTTCCCCTTGCTGGGCTTCCTGGGAGGCCCTCGTCGCCACCGCTGGATTCGCCTCGAAATTCTGGTCAGAACGTGTCCCGGGATAAGTCCGGGGAGTGGCGGTATCGGTACCTTGTGGTTTCCCAACATGCGGCTCGATGGGGAGCCCGAGCCTCTCCGCGCCGACGGCGCCGAGGCATCGCCGACGTCGCCGAGGCATCGCCGATGCATCGGTGATGCATCGGCGATGCGGCGCGACCTTCTGACCCCATCACTCCGACCCAGTTTGGGAGATGTTTCTGGAGGGTCGAGCGCTGGCGTCGCTCTGCGTCGCCGGCGGCTGCCACAACCAGTCTTGGGGCCGCTCGAGGTTCGAGGTCGCCGTTCCCGGCACCCGTGGGCTCGTTTTTCGCTCCCGGGGCCGTCAGAAATTGATCTGGTACCAGCAAGAGGAGTGTGATGATACGGTTTACTAGCTGCCTGCGGCGAGCTCCGCCACCGTACCAGTGCAGCAGCGCAGCAGCGCGGCAGCAGAAACGATGTTTACGCCAGACCCGCTGAAGTTCAGACATGGCCCTGGACTGGAGCGGGTCTTGAACAACCCCTCGTCGTCCGCGGAGTCACTGCCCCCGCCCCTGCCCCCTCCCCAACTCCCCCCTGCCGACTTGAACAACCCCCCCCTTGTCCGCAGCCTCACTGCCCCTGCCCCTGCCCTCCCCCAAGCCTCTCCCGTCGACGCTCCTCGGAGCCGGTGCCAGCTCATGGGCGCGGGTGCAGAGCCCGAGCTGGGCCCCGGGCACTGCGCTGCTGACCCGCTCGGTGGCTTCCCTGCCAGCGTCCCCGCCTGGCTCACGGGCGCGGGTGGGGGGGGGGGGGGGGGCTGGCCGCCGAGCTCAGCTGTCAGCAGCGTGGTCTTTCCGGGGACTCGTCCTGGCTACAGCGCCCGCGTCCCCATCCCAAGCTTCTGATGTCGCAGCCTGCTTGAGCCCTGACCGCCAGAGAGGGTTTCGAGCACCAAGCAGGTCCCGAAACTGGAGGGGCTTCACGTGCCGGGCCCTGGCAGGCGGTACTCGTTCGACGCGGTTTCGATGCTTTTCTGAGTGCTCGATACTACTTCTGGGATGTGATCCTCAAGTGCGGTGGGAACAACATCATCATCAGCGCTGCCTCGCGCAGCTGTGATGCTGCCTCCCACTTTTCTCGCTCGGCCGCTGGGGCATCGACACGGCGGAGGCGGGAATCTGCCATGTCAGGTCTTTCCGCACGTGTTGTCTCGTCTCTTGCGCTCTTCGCCAGCAGTCGCAGACTGCACCGAGTGAGAAGTGTGGGGCATTGCTCATCGTCGATTCGCGTCCTCTCCTTTGCCCTCCTTCCCCCTCTCCAAAATCATTGCGCGGAAAAACAAATTCTCGCTCGGCCGCTGGCTGTGTGGCCATCCGGCCAGCCCCCCGCTCCTCGCCCCCGGCGGACGGCTGCACCCCGCACCCGCGACGCTCGCCGGCGCTGCGTCGCTCACTGCCTCCGCCTGCTCACTGGCAGCGGGCAGCGGCGGTCTCCTCCTGGCTCGGGAGCCTTGAGACGGGGGTCAATGCAAACGGGGTTCAGCCACGGCACCGGATCCTGCAGGATCCTGCGAAGACCCCCTCTGGCTGACCCGGGTTAGCGAGCCGCTCGTGGCCGCGAGGCGGCCGCACATGTTGGCTGACCTGGTTTTGCGAGGACCTGCGCTGCATAATATATACATATATAAACTGCATTGCAGTTTTTGGTTTCCTGCTGACCCGGGTCTGGATTGACCCCGGTCGGGAGATCCCCGACTGGCAGGGTTTTCGCACGCGTTTGTGTGCGCTTCCTCGTTCTGCTCGCCGCGGCCAGTCGGTCGCGTCGCCGTGCTGCTCGCCCCCGCCTGCGGGGCGATGTCACAACTGTCTCATCAGGAGAGGAAAAAACACACGGACACAGTGAATCCTCGATTCCCCAGAAAATATGGGAAAATATGAGAAGTGGGGGGGAAGACAGAAGCCCAGAAAATATGGGAAAATATGGGGAATCTTTTTGTTTGTGTGTATTTATTTGTGTGTCCTGGGGCCCCACCCGCCACCCACGTCCGGGTGGCCTATGAGCGGTTGGTCCCAGTGGGGCCCCGCGTCTGCGGGCCCGGCCGCGCGCGCGGGTTCCGCAGCGCTCTGCTCGATTTGCTCCGCACCGCTGCTGCGCGCGAGGCCGCGATCGCCAAAAGGTGTGTGCGTGTGTGTGTGTGTGTGTTGTGTGTGTGTGTGTGTGTGTGTGTGTGTGTGAAGTGTGTGTGTGTGGTGTGTGTGTGTGTGTGTGTGTGTGTGTGTGCGTGCGTGCGTGCGTGCGTGCGTGCGTGCGTGCGTGCGTGCGTGCGTGCGTGCGTGCGTGTGTGAGAGAGAGCGTGCGAGTGTGTGTGTGTGTGTGTGTTGGGTTCCCCCCCCTGGCCGCGTCGGTCGGACGGGGCTAGGACGAGGACAGATCCGTTCCAGAGCGTTCCGGAGCGCTCTCGGAGCGGCTTGGAGCGCTCCGAGGAGGTCGCCGCGCCCAGGGCGTCCTTCGGAGCCGCCGGCTCTCAGAGGGTCTCGGCTTGATCCTCACCCGAATTTTTGATCCTCGCCCTGGCTCCGTCTTCGGCCGGCCGCGCGGGCGGCGCGCCAGGGGCTGCGCGGCGAGAGCGACGAGACCCAGCGGCAGCTGGAGGGCCTGCAGTCGCAGCTCTCGGCGGCTCGCCACGAGCTCGCGCGGCACTCGTCGGCGCCGCGGCGTGGTCGTGGTCGTCGTCGTCGTCCTCCTCCTCCTCCTCCTCCTCCTCCTCCACTTCCTCCTCCATTCTATTTCCGTATAGATAGTTTCTCCCTGTCGCACCCCGAGGCCAGTTTTTAGGGCGGTCCGGGCGTTTCGCCGAAGACTTTCGCACCACTAGTGACTCTGAAGCTTGATTCGACAACAGTTTCACAGATGGAGGGCGGGTGGTTTTCAAAATGTGGCTCTCGCCTCAGCGCCGCGCACATTCATTTAAACAAGTTGCAAGGGTTTCACGGATTGAGGGCGGGTCGTTTTCAAAATGTGGTTCTCGTTAGCGCCGCGCACATGCGTTGTGGGCGGTTCCTTTTCAAAATGTGGTTCTCGCTTTAAGACTGCGCACATTCGCTTAAACAGTTGGCAAGAGCTTCACGAATTGAGGGCGGTTCTTTTTCAAAATGTGGCTCTCGCCTTAGCGCTGCGCACACTCGTTTAAACAATTCGCAGAAATTTCACGGATTCCCATGATCAGCGTACCAGAAATGTCATTTGGGAACAATTCTGGATTATGAGGGCACAACAGTTACATTGATTGGCGGTTTTGAAGGCCCAAGAACGGCGTTCTGGCACGATTCAGGATCGTCAAGACGCAACAGTCAGGTTGCTCCTTAGCGTTGCAATCCCGAGAACGATGTTTCGGCATGCGTCTGGGTCTTCAAACGATTGCCTTCCAACGAAGCAGTTCCTTCAGTGGAGATGAACACTTGTATGGGCCTATGGAGGGGCAGCCTGGTGTGAAGGTTGATTACAACATCGGTGATGGCTCTTGGGTTTACACTGGCCCTCCCCCTCCTGCTCCTCCTCCTCCTGCTCCTCCTCCTCCTCCTCCTTGTCCTTATAAATCATCTCTCCCTGTCGCACCCCGAGGCCAGTTTTTAGCGCGCCAGGTGTTTCGCCTAAGACTTCCTCACCATTTGTGACCCTGAAGCTTACACATTCACAACCGTTTCACCAGATGGAGGGCGGGTGGTTTTCTAAGTGTGGCTCTCGCCGTAGCGCCGCGCATTCGTTCAAACAATTAAAAGAGTTTCACAGACGGAGGGCTTGTGGTTTTCAACATTTGGCTCTCACCTAGCGCCGCGCACATTCGCTGTAAACGTATGCAAGAGTTTCACGGATTGGATTGTTGTTTGGTTTTTGTGTTTTGTTGTTGTTGTTGTTGCCGTTGTTGTTATTGCTGCTGCTGTTGTTGTTGTCTATATATATACACACACGCAAAAAGAACCTTGTTAAAAACTAACACTTCCAAATTGTGGCTCTCGCGGTAACGCTGCGCGCATTCGCTTAACCAACTGTCAAGAACTTCGCGTTTTCAACATGTGGTTCTCGCCTTAGCGCCACGCACATGCGTTGAGGGCGGTTCCTTTTCAAAATGTTGCTCTTTTTTTAGCGCCGTGCATTTTTTGTTTTAAAGAGAGGTCCACGGATTACCAGGATCAACGAACCAGATCTAGTGTCTTGGACGGATTCAGGATTATGGGGGCGCAGCAGTGGCGCTGGTTCGCGGTGTTGAAGTCCCAGGAATGATGTTCTGGCACGATTCAGGGTCGTCAAAACGCAACAGTCAGGTTGATCCGTGGCGTTGGAATCCCGAGAACGATGTTTTGGCATGCGTCAGGGTCTTCAGACTGTTGATTTCCAACGAGGCAGTTCCCTCAGTGGACATAAACCGATTTAGGGGCCCGTGACGTGGAAGTTTGGAGGGAGGGTTTATTCCAACATCGTTGATGGCTCTTGGGTTTCCACTGGTCCTCCTCCTCCTGATCCTCCTCCTCCTCCTCCTCCTTCACCTCCTCCTCCTCCTCTTCCCCTCCTCCTCCTGGCCTGCAGTCGCAGCTCTCGGCGGCTCGCCACGAGCTCGCGCGGCATTCGTCGGCGCCGCGGGCGTGGTCCGTGGTCGTCCTCGTCCCTCCGCGGCCCTCCTCGTGCGCGGCCCTCGGCGGGGCCTCTCCGCGCCGCCGCGGCCGCAGTTTGCCACGCGCCGAGGAGGGTGGTGCGGGTGCGGGAATGTGGGGGGGGGGGCTCCTTAGACGCAACCTCCTGCTGAGAAGCCTTCACCCCTCCCCCCTGCCCCCCTGTTGCGTGCCGCCGTTTGCAGGATGTTGCCTTGGATGGGATTCAGGGGGGGATTTCAGAGGAGGAGGAGGATAAGGAGGAGGAGGGGGAGGAGAATAATGATGATGAGGAGGAGGATGAGGATGATGATGACGATGATGATGATGATGATGATGACGATGAGGAGAAGGAGAAGGAGGCGGATGAGGAGGAGGACGAGGAGGAGGAGGAGGAGGAGGAGGAGGAGGAGGAAAAGGAGGAGGGGGATGAGGAGGAGGCGGCGGCGGAGGAGGAGGAGGAGGAGGAGGAGGAGGAGGAGGAGGAGGATGGGGGAGCAGGAGGAGGAGGAGGAGGAGGAGGAGGAGGAGGAAGAGGCGGAGGCGGAGGCGGAGGCGGA